AGACAGATTCATTATTAAGGCGATTCCGATGTTTTCTTATATAGTTAACGCAGCACGTGAGAATAATCTTTAAAGCATTTATTTGTACTAAATAGTCTGAATTCTTTCTAAATATGTTGTATTATGAATGAAATTCTCAAGTCTGCAGTCGGCACGCAGAAATATTTACCTGCGAGACTCTCGCACGAGACACGAGACTCGAGACGAGACCAATGAAAGTCTCGTCTCATCTTGGCCGAGTCTTGTCTGAGTTAATTGTTTCGGTTACAGAAAAAATAGCAAATTTTACTTTCGCTCGGCTTCGCTCCGCCTCGCAAATGTAAAATTCACTTGCCAAACAAAGTGTTACTTTTGATTCTAATTAAACAATCGACTATTTTTGTTGTCAGAAAGAATTTGTATTTGTGTTTTCGTTTAATTCTTTTATATAATGTCAGTTCGATATTTATATTTTTGACAGTTTTTTAATTCATTTGTGAAATATTTGAATCAAACTTCAAACACTTGTCAGTTTGAAACAGACGAAGCAGTGTTGGATAGAGAATCAGAAGGCATTCGAAATCAGGTACCACGTGACCCAGTTTACATTTGAGAAAAAAAAAAGTTTATGGTGCCTTCTCGACACTAGTCCACGTGACCACAATCATTTTTCAGGTTCGAAATTGTTGAACAACACTTTACCAAATCTTGTTTGTCTATAGAACCGAAAAGCTTTAGAATTCTTTGGCAAAGGAAGTATTCCCAAAAACTTGAGTTAAATAAAAAATCCGTTTCGTGCGCTCCAAGATATGAAAAACAATTCAAAAAGTAGTAATAGTGCGGTACCTTTTGTCACCGACCTGGATAGTTTGTTTACATGAAAAGTTAAGACGCCACTGTGTAATTGCAAATATGTATATCCATACCCAATTCCTATCTAGGAAGACATTTTCATCCGCGTGTCTTTTTTGGAATGATAGACACACGATATTATGTAAAGATAATTAAAGAGAATGTAAAAAATATGATTAAAAACATGGGCAGACGAGAATCAAGAGGATCGAGAGAAAGTTTGTATAAAGGATGAGCACAATTTAATGCAGTGATTGAAGCTGTTATTATGTTGGGAGTTTTATAAAGTAAATAAACTGAGTGATGCTGATTCGTGGGAAAACGTGATAAAATTATCAATTGTTTTATGAGAAATAACGAGATAGCTTAAAAGATGTATACCTGTGACCTATACCCTGTCCTCTCGTATGCACCTGCAAAAAGTTTTGCTATAAAAACAACATAATACATCAATTTTCCTATGATCACGTCAAAAAATTATAACTATTAGTGGTCCCATTCAGTTTCAAAGAGAAGTTCTTGAGAAATCAAATACCATTATGACATTTAGAAAAGTCGGGAACTAGCCATTTCCGTATGGGAATTTAGGTTTTGGAGTGTTCCTTTCCTCTTTTTTTACTCAGATGGCGTTGCTTTCATATTGTCTATGAAAGACGCCCCTGGGGGGATCTAATGCCGACTTGATTTGTGTTTGCCTAGGCTACGCTTAGTCGGCGGTCTTAGGGCTGCTGGCTGGAGACTGCCCTGCACTGATGAGAGTCAAAGAGCTCGAAACCGGTCTGTAGGTGTCTAGTGTGGCCTGGCTAAATAAAAATCAATAGGTATTCAGGAAAGAATAACTTGTATTGTATTCGTTTATACGAGTCGATGCAGAGATTTCGGAAGGATGTGATTCAATGTTCTGGGTGGCATTAACCAGGAAAATAGTTCTCCCGAAATCTACCATTATTGTTCATTTTATGAACATTGTGTGGAAATGGCTTTGAGCTCTTAGTATTCATTAGATTAAGAAGACTATAAATACATATTTCGGCAACTAATAAGCCATCATCTCCAGTAGAGAAGAAAACGAAATAAAAATTGTCTGACTCCCCAGTATATCTCCTGAAAAGTCAACAAAGATTAGATCCACTCAGCGAGAGTGATTGTTGATATTGGTGATACTTCTCATGTTCATGTGAAGATTATCATGTTATCCAATTATCGAAAAATTACAGAGATAATTGCACTGCAGAGTGAAGCTTGCACTGCGAAAACATTCTGTCGCCATAACAACACATTTGAAATCGTTTCACTTAAACAAACAAACAAATGTCAGATAGACTTCAAAAAGTGAAAAAAATTTCGCGTTTTGATGAATTTTGCCTTGAAATGAACGTTCTAAATCAGAAATAGGCCCATAACCTGATAAACTAGTCTGAACCAGAAGAAAGTGAAGTTTATTGTGACAAAGAATAAATATAATATATTAACAGATGTCATCGTGGTTGTCATCTCAACAAATTTATTCATAGTCTGTCAGAATTATGATATTTCTTCGAGAATTTCTTTATTCGTGAAATATTCCAATGAATTACATTCGTACATAAAAATTACCAGATAATTTTGCATTCGGTTATTTTCATATTTGGTGAAAGAGCCTTTGTCCTTTCGCCAAAAAATTCAATTTTTAGATAACACGCTTTCTTGCGAAATTATCGGTAATTTTTATGCCCTCGAGTAATTATAACCGAAAAGAAAACAACATAAATTGTCTGACTTTGTGGTATATTTCCTGAAAAGACAATGAAGATTAGATCTTCAGAAATTATCAGCGCGAGAGTGATTGTTGATATTGATGATAATGATCATGTTTATATCGCGTCGAGTATCTCAAAAAGTTTAGAGCTATGAATACCTGAAGTGCTAGGGTGACTAGTTTCAAAAATATGTTGAGAAACACTTGATTCATCACAAACAGATTATGGGCATTGACAACAATCTATGCAACAATTTTACAGCTAGTAGCATCACACTTTTCAACTCGAAGTAAGTCAAGAACAAATAATGTAATTCTTTCACACCGATCTTTTTGTATTGTAGAACTTTCAGTTAGGCTGAAGATGATATTTCATGAGACCGGAACATATTCCTTCTGATTGTGTAACAACACCATCAAAATTTGTGAAGATGACTTCGAGCATTCCTTACTTCCTTTGACAAACAGATTAGGTTTTTGTAGTATTTTGGATATATATTCATTCGAATTCACCTTTTCAGTATCAAGAACGGATTTTCACTGGTTGCAATATTGTTGAAAAATTGAGAATTTTTGAGCTGACAACACTGTTTTCAACTCATTGTTTAAGTGTTAGTAATCGATTTTGTCATTATTTCATGAAAAAGAAGAGTTCATGATTATCTAACCTCTCAATATAGTCAGTCCACTGACATTTTACAAAATTATATTGTTCAAATCGAGAGATTTTGTATTTTCTGAATCTGATGGTCGTCGTTGTGCGACTGGTGCAAGTAATCAATCATGTCCCCGAAATGACAAAACAACTAAAAGTCGGATGATTTTTTTTTAATATTCTAGCAAAATAGCTTGATAAACTATCCATCAGGCAACTGAAATTTCTCTGATATGCCGAAATTGTAGTATCATATTTCCTCTACAAATCGGAACTTCAAGAAAAGGTTTTCAAGTAGTTGGTCACAGTAGTGAACCTTTCCTATATGTTTGTGATAACCATTTTGAGTTTTTCGATGTTTCTTCTAGGAATTGAAACTTTGAGGAAAGGTTTTCAAATAGTCAGTGACACAACTGAACTCTCATATGTTTTCAATCCACTATTTTCTGAATTTTCATACACTTGGAAGAATGTGTAGTGCAAAAACAAAGAATCCACTACTTTGTTATAAGATAGCAAGCACAAAATTGATGTTCCCGAGATAGCAAGAAAGCTGACCAGATGTCATTGAAATTGACAGATCATATTGCCAAAAATCGATGATTAGATTTCCACTTTTTCGAATCTTGCTATGATAGCAATATCTTCTCTACAACCATATTGCTATTTGCAAACAGAATAGACCCGATTGATTGCAGACTGATGTGACCAACGGGGTCTCCTATATTTTTTTAAACAAGTGAGATATGTTGTAATATCTTTTTCCGCCACTAGCTATAGAACCTACCATTATTCACTCCTTTCCAAAGCATAAAGTGTGTTTTTTCTACCAAGATAGTTTTCGTCATTTTATGAACCACCAGTCGATAAAGACATAGCCCACGTCTGATAAAATAAACCTGAATTCACTGTTCTTATGCGAGATTCGCAAGAATAGCACTCGAATGATCAATATATCGACTTACTGTCATGACTAGATTTCAATCAGAATTGACAAGAAGTGCTTTAATTCATAGTGACAATAGGTTCCTATTTACAATTTAGCCTAACTCGGCCTAAATGAACCTCCTTCCTTGAAAGTAAATTTTTCAACATCGATCAGATTTGTCAATAAGGCTGAATCAAAATGGAGCCTAACCAGATATGTTCCTCATTGAATCTATGTAAATACTATGAAAGGATTTAAACCAAGTGAGTTGGTGAAATGATGCTTACAAATTCCAAATGAGTAGCCGTTTTATTCAATATTGGTGTGTCAGATTGAGGAACATATTATAATTAATACGCCACCTGCATAGTCTCTACTTGATGCCCTCTAGATCGATCCCAACCACGCAGGTCTGATAGCTAGATAAGTATCCCTTTATACGGGAATTTCGAACCTTCACCTGTTAACTTTCCCAGAGATATGTCTTTCCTCAGAACTTGCGGTTTTCTTAGGATAAATTCCGACCTCAAGGGTTTGTTAGCTTGATAGTCTTGACACTAAGAATACATTGAACAATATCAGAAGTCTTTACTAGAACACAACAAGCAGCCAAATCTTTCGTGGTTTCTCCACATCTATTCTATATACTTGCTGAGATAGATACTATATAGGTATTGATATATTTCTTAGTGATCTCTAAGATAATTTGGATCGAAACCAAAGGAATAGATGGAATGATGATCACAAACTCGTTTTTCACCACGTAAAATAGCTTGATTACATTTTGGCAGACTCTTTCAATGAACAACTAATTGGTATCTCATCAGTTCATATAATTTTTAGTATACTTATTCCTTCTGGACCAGGATCATTTTTTTAGTATGGAGCACCGTAGGACCCGGAAGGTGCTGATGGTGCGCCGTAGCTCGAACTAGGTCCGTTTGGGTAGCCCCGAACCCACCTACTTGCTGCTGGGAGATCTGGTTGTACTGCGCCACCTGGATAGCCTGCTTGATGCCCTCTAGATCGATACCAACCACGCGTGTCTGGTAGCTAGGAACTCCGTACTGCGTGAATTTTGAACTTTCACCTGTCAACTGTTCTTCAGATGATTACAATATAACGACTTCCAAGATTAGTTCTACTGATGTTCTTCCTCAGCACCCGAAATTTCCTCAAGGAAGAATCTGGATCACAAGCGTCCGTTAGCTTGCCACCAGAAATACATTGAACAATATCATCAGAAGTTTTTGCCAGAACGCTAGAAGCCACTTAACTGTTCGTGATTCGTCCAAAACTAAGCTTTATTTCCGCTATAATAGATACTATAGGCATTAATCGATTTGTAAGTAATTTCTAGGATACATACTTTGGATTGAAACCAAGAAAGTTGATGAACTGATGTTTCCAATCTTCATGATTTTTACCAATTTTTCCAAATGTTGGGCGTGCCTATGTACTCGATGACTTCTGGCAGGAAGGCACTTCGCCAGTGTTGAGAAACAAGTTTAGTCACTTCGATACATTTCGCAGACTATATTATAATAAATGACTAGTATAAGCGTAAGTAACCTATTTCCCATATGGACCAGTACCGAGAAGATTACCAAATAATACACAATCTTACGGTGACAAATGTATTTTTTTAAAACATAACCTATACAAAGCTTTATACACAAATAAACAATTTAATGCGTGGTGTTGGACACTCGAAGATGTTGCCGAGTGGTAGTTGTTGAATGCATCATGACCCGCTCGAGATGGAAAGAGATGTTGTTTTATGTACACGAAAATCAGTTCTTTGTTCTTAGTATGGAGCACCGTAGGACCCGGAAGGTGATGATGGTGCGCCGTAGCTCGAACTAGGTCCGCTTGGGTAGCCCCCGAACCCACCTCCTTGCTGCTGGGAGATCTGGTTGTACTGCGCCACCTGGATTGCCTTTCTTGATGCCCTCTAGATCGATCCGAACCACGCGCGTCTAGTAGCTAGGAACTCCGTACTGCGTGAATTTTGAACTTACACCTGTCAACTGTTCTTCAGATGATTACAATATAACGACTTCCAAGATTAGTTCTACTGATGTTCTTCCGCAGCACCCGAAATTTCGTCAAGGAAGAATCTGGATCACAAGCGTCCGTTAGCTTGCCACCAGAAATACATTGAACAATATCAGTAGAAGTTTTTTCCAGGACGCTAGAAGCCACTCAACTGTTCGTGATTTGTCCAAAACTAAGCTATATTTCCGCTATAATAGATACTATAGACATTAATCGATTTGTCAGTGATTTCTAGGATACATACTTTGGATTGAAACCAAGAAAGTTGATGAAATGATGATCCCAATCTTCATGTTTTTTACCAATTCTTCCAAATGTTGGTCGTGCCTATGTACTCGATGACTTCTGGAAGTAAGGCACTTCGCCAGTGTTGAGAAACAAGTTTAGTCACTTCGATACATTTCGCAGACTATATTATAATAAATGACTAGTATAAGCGTAAGTAACCTATTTCCCATCTGGACCAGTACCGAGAAGATTACCGAATAATACACAATCTTACGGTGACAAAAGTATTTTTTTAAAACATAACCTATAAAAAGCTTTATACAAAAATAAACAATTTAATGCGTGGTGTTGGACACTCGAAGATGTTGCCGAGTGGTAGTAGTTGTTGAATGCATCATGACCCGCTCGAGATGGAAAGAGATGTTGTTTTATGTACACAAAAATCAGTTCTTTGTTCTAAGTTGGGAGCACCGTAGCTCGAATTAGGTTCGCTTGGGTAGCCCCCGAACCCACCTTCTTGCTGCTGGGAGATCTGGTTGTACTGCGCTACCTGGATAGCCTGTTTGATGCCCTCCAGATCCATCACCACCACGCGCATCTGGTAGCTAGGCACTCCGTACTGCGTGAATTTTGAACCTTCACGTGTCAACTGTTCTTCAGATAATCACAATATAACGACTTGCAAGATTAGTTCTACTGATGTTCTTCTTCAGCACCCGAAATTTCCTCAAGGAAGAATCTGGATCACAAGCGTCCGTTAGCTTGCCACCAGAAATACATTGAACAATATCAGCAGAAGTTTTTTCCAGAACGCTAGAAGCCACTCAACTGTTCGTGATTTGTCCAAAACTAAGCTATATTTCCGCTATAATAGATACTATAGGCATTAATCGATTTGTCAGTAATTTCTAGGATACATACTTTGGATTGAAACCAAGAAAATTGATGAACTGATGATTCCAATCTTCATGTTTTTTACCAATTCTTCCAAATGTTGGTCGTGCCTATGTACTCGAAGACTTCTGGAAGGAATGCACTTCGCCAGTGTTGAGAAACAAGTTTAGTCACTTCGATACATTTCGCAGACTATATTATAATAAATGACTAGTATAAGCGTAAGTAACCTATTTCCCATCTGGACCAGTACCGAGAATATGACCAAATAATACACAATCTTACGGTGACAAATGTATTTTTTTAAAACATAACCTATAAAAAGCTTTATACAAAAATAAACAATTTAATGCGTGGTGTTGGACACTCGAAGATGTTGCCGAGTGGTAGTTGTTGAATGCATCATGACCCGCTCGAGATGGAAAGAGATGTTGTTTTATGTACACGAAAATCAGTTCTTTGTTCTTAGTAGGGAGCACCGTAGGACCCGGAAGGTGCTGATGGTGCGCCGTAGCTCGAACTAGGTCCGCTTGGGTAGCCCCCGAACCCACCTCCTTGCTGCTGGGAGATCTGGTTGTACTGCGCCACCTGGATAGCCTGCTTGATGCCCTCTAGATCGATACCAACCACGCGCGTCTGGTAGCTGGGCACTCCGTACTGCGGCGACGGTACGCCGTACTGGGAGGAGGGGTACCCGCCGCCGATGCCGCCCCCGTGGCCTCCTGAGGAGGAGGAGGAGCTCTGTTCCTCTCTGAGGAGGATCTGGCGCACCTGCTCGAGCAGCTGAGGGTCCACGGAAGCGCCTTCAGAGGTCTGGTAGCCTGATGACACGGCCTGGTAACCTCCCCCACCACCGGACAGCCCACCTCCCAGGGAGATGCCTCCGCCACCGCCGCCGAAGTAGCTGCCGCCACCGCCGCCTCCGCTGGGGCGGTTGTAGTTGTAGCCCGATGGGGGCTCAGCCACGACAGCTGCGGCCAGAGCGAAGGCCAATACCTGCGAGATAGAGGGTGGGAATCAATACACGGAAATGATAGGCTCAGGTAAATGCCGAGAATCATGTTGATAAAATAATGAGATCGTATATCGACAACAATTCGTAATTGGCAACTTGATTCCCCTCTGAACTCAGTGGTCCTAACATATATATTGATCGTGAACAATAAATCTGGATGGATTGTGATCTCAACAATTATTCGAAACTATCAGTATCTATTCTTTACCAAGTGTAATATAGTGCATCACGTGATGTTTACTAAATATATATTACATAGTGATGTTGACTAAGCTAGTGGTGGTAGATCATATAGCTGCATATCTATACAGGGTGATTCATAACTATTGGGACATAGGCTAAGGGCGAATTGTTTGGACCAAAATATGGCGATAGGACCGAATAAGCCCTAATAAAATATTGCTATGGAAAAAGATACAGGACGTTAAAGTTGTAATTTTCCTAGTTTTTTGCTAATTATTTCACTATGTATGCATCAATTGTTATCAAAATCGGCAAAGAGGCATAATTATATACATATATATATATAATTCTTACAGGGGGCGCCATTTAAATGATTCCTGATGATTACATCGACTGATAATTTTTTTGACGAAACTTTTCAGTGACTTTGATAAAAAAATATAATATAAACATCATTTTTATGTAATATTGGTACTCTTGTATGCAATTGAACAGTTGGAAGTCCTCGGAAGGGGATTTCAAATATCATTTCATTTATGCAGACTGTGCTTTGGACTGTCAGGAAATCGTTGCTGGTGAATTTCATTTCTTGACAGTGAATGAATTATGGTGCGACTTTATAGTCAATACTTTTTCGATTGAAACACCCTGTATCTTTTTCCACAGCAATATTCTATTAGGGCATATTTGGTCCTACAAAGTAGTAATATGCTCAGCTTAAAATAAAAAATAGTGTTGAACTGGCTTGAAAGGCCTCCATCTATCCTCTCTAGGTATAGTTTATCCAAAGTCAGTTGAACAAATAATCAAATGAATGTCGGGCAGCGCTGCCGCTCTCTTTAAACTTACAAAGGGACCGACGGCTTGCGGTGATGGGTTTTTCCAACTGACTTTGCATAAACTATACGCACGATGTTCCACGAACATAATAGGAATTTCCTTTCGTGCGTTCCAAGAGATAAAACAAAGTTATTGTTGAACATTCAGAAATAAATGATTTCGTGGATATTTGCTCGATTGAGGACCATAAAGTTGAAATATAAATATCTCATATATTTTACATAACAATGTGCGAAGTGGGTACTTCGCGCTCTGTTTTACTTCGCGCATTGTTTTGTGCAAGGTATCATGGTAACGTAGGAAACTGTAAAACAGTGTCGCTCCGCAATTTGTTATCAATGCGCGAACCTTGTCAATTTTTGACGTTTGTAGAAAAAATATATTACTGCGAAAGTGTGTAACACGCAATTTATTTCACTTCAGTTTCAAAGAGCTATAATGATGTTAATGTTAATGTATTTTTGTTTCACTTTAAAAAAAGTGATATACATAAAATTTTATTGATATTTACAGAATATGGCATGAGGTTAGGTTTAAATACAGCTCAGGCCAACACTCCGCCTATATTCACCTTTTATTCCTACCAATGTGCATGAATTAATACGCTTCATCATCATTATTATCAATTATTATCATCATGATTATCAAAATGTCTGAATATATTTCGAAAGTAGTACCTATATAATTATCTAGGATATTAATTTAATTTGACCGAGTTAACTATTGCTTTTTTAGTAATTTTCACAAAGTAAAAAGAGTAATAGTTCAGGGTTGAATAAAAGTTTCGAAATACAAATTCATATACCTAGGTCATATAGGTGATATCTTGAAAACTATGAATTATAATATCTACTATATAAATTTGGTTTGACATATTCAATCAAATTGCTGCTTACTACGAATCGATTTAAAATATACCATCTACTCATCAATGAAGAAAGTGATTAGGAAGCAAAATTTCGTGCATGATAATGGATACAACATTGAATTCAAGTATAGTTTTCGTAATATGAAGATATCATTTTATCATTCCGAATGTAGGTAATAACGAAATTTCAAAATCACAACATTGTGAAATAAATAAGCTATATTTTATATTGAATGAATATATGAAAGTTTCTGGTGATTTCAATATAACATCTATCAAATTTCATCATCCTGAAATTATTTCTGTAAGTTGCTTCAGATGTCTAAAATATAAAAGTTGTAATTACTTATTAAATTCCATCGAAATCTGTATATAATAATTTGATTGCCTCAAAATAATTACCTACTTTGATGTCAATTCCTTTTTCGGTTATAAATTATTACTATATAGTGCTTTCCAAATAAGGTGGAGTCACCATCATAAGACAATGAGGCAATGATTGAATTTAACTGTGAGAAAAAATCGTTCAGATCTCGTCATACACTTTCTATTACAAATAAAACTTTCTCAGACGACAAAAAGGAAGACATTTGAATTCTGCAAGAATGTAGTTTTGCTGTCATCATTATTTACTGCGGCAGTGGAAAGAAACTGGTCTATTTGCATATTGATCTAGTTCAACACGTAAGTGAAGGATTCACTCAATATACAAGGAAGAACTAATTGAAAATTAAGTAATACGGTAAGTTGGATAAGTACTCGCAAAGACTGTCTATAGTAGTCGGTAAAATATTCAAATTCGATAACTCATTTCTGATGTCATTCTAAAAAGACCCTCAGTGTTGAATATTTTGCGAAGATAAATATTTGAAAGAAGTTGAAAAAATATCAACAATAGAAACCCTTCATTCCATCTTTGGGACTGAGGTGAATTGGGCTGTAGTTCCTCATATTTTTGCCAATTAGTGTTCTGTGTCAGCGTTTTGTACCGAGTGATACGTTATAAAGTACCACCCTCTGTAACTCTTTCATTTTCAACAGTAGAAAAAAATCAAAAACGGCCTACAGGGGTGATTTTGCTTCTTGAAACATCAGCAGATACATTTTCACTATCTTAAACGATAAACAGGGAGCAGCAAATAGTTTATGAATTTCAAATTGAACACAATATGTATATATTTCCTCGTCATTTCGAAGAGCTTTTTGAAAATACCCTACTCGATATAATTATATTCTTATTTCTCAATTTATGGGCATCCAAAACTAACAGAGTTTGATCGATTTTTGACCACTTGTCGAGATAAGTGACCATGATTGCAAATCCAGTTATATTAGCTATATAGCTTCTGATTTAATTCTCATTAGAGATGATCACTGAAGATTGATATTGTAATCATTGTCATGGCCTACTCTCGAAGATAATTCAAAATCGAAGAAACTATATTAGTTTTAAAAGTCTCTATTTTGACAGATACAGAAGATAAATATATTGAGTGGGGTATTTTCGGAAAGCTCTTATCAGATAGTGAAAATGTAACTGCTGGGAAGAAGAAAAAATGTCCTGTGAGAAATAAAAATGACAAAGGAGGTTATAGGTACATTATTCCATATCACCAGGTACAGATCATCAGAAGACCTGTATCTGAACAAAATTCTTGAAAACCTTATTCCATTTATACTTCGTTCTCAACGTATTAAGCTGATCTCTGAGGTAATTTTTCTTCCATCGGTATGTATCAATAAGCCAGTTCTGACAAGATGGAAAGAGAAAAATAGATGTGACTTACAAAAATTGAGTTATTTCCACAATGTTTTTCCTGAGTTTGTTGTTGTGAGTCCTTACTATAGCTGATTATAAGAAACTGATATTTTCACCGAAGAAACGGGAAAAAATAACCCCTTATTGTTAATGTCGATATATAACTTCTCACATTTTATGTTTTTTTTTCAACCAGGAAATATTATAATGGCTCAGTCGAGTGGATCATACAAAATTATTTCCTTTTTTGAACTTTGAAAATTCTATTTTTTCACGTTGGCCCCACTTCAGACCTCACGAAAAATGCACAATCAAAGAAACCTCAACATCTATTTATAAGATAGGAAATGCACAAACAACAATCAAATGTGTTGATGTACCTATTTTAGGTCCCTTGTTTAGAAAAACTCAGAATAAAATCTATCTGTCGGCAAAGACGCATTCATTCCGTATTCCGTCCCAAAATGTCACTGCGTTTAAAGAATTTTCCTATCAGCTAAGTAAAAATTTGATACTTTTTCTATATACTTACCTTTATTTCTCTTCTCTAAACTTTTTTCAATACAAATTGTCACTGACAAGCTAGTGAATTTTTCTTTCAGGCTCTCTGATAGGAAAATTCTTCAAACGCAGTGACATTTTGGGGCAAATCATCTGATTTGTCCTTACTACACGTATATTGAAATAATATTCATATTTTTATTTTATAGAAACGAGGAGAGAAAATCTAAAAAAATCTGGAATAATGACTAAATTTTCAACTCAAACCAGTGTACCCCATCTATATCTAGCATATTAAATCATTCAAAATAAAAAAATCATCCTCATCATTCGAAATCCATTCTGGAAGATCAAAAATGTTTTCAAAATCTGATTTTGTCAACAAAGCAATATTGAAATTCAGATCAATTATTGATGAAAAACGATATAACGTGATTTTTATAAGAACGTTGTGATTCGTACGATGTAAAAAAATCTTCAGAAAGTTTGATTGATAATGTTTGTCTTTCAGTAATATTCATATGTATACTCGTATCCAACTATTTGTTCTGTCATACTTCCTCAGTAGGTGCTATGAGTGTGTCAATATTTAATATTCAAATATATGTCCATACATAACAATAAAAACAGTAAATTTGATGGCTTCTTCCTAAAAAGTTTCAATTCATGGAATTACCCATTTGTTTCAATTGTCGAATACATAATATCAAAATCATCTTGATTATTCTATTGTGGTTCTATTCTTCAAGATCAGTGCTTACAATCTGTTAACTTGAATATCATTAAGGAACTTTCTACATAAAATAACATCAATAATTGAAGCAATAAGTGTATATAAGATGTTAATGAATTAAATTCACTAGTTTGAAGTGTGCTTGACAGTAGTGGAATCTCATTCGATTGACCAACTTATTGAGTAGAAAATGTAAACAAATCATATTGGGTCAAGTCCTTGCACTAATAGCTTCAATTACTGTTTTCCGCCATTTTTTATCAAGAAAAATACAACCACAAAAAATCACTTGTTCACTTCACACTGAAAACCCCGGATGTTCCACTCGCGTATTCCTTTTCCAAAATCGCTGACTTTCCCCAAAAATTCACAAAACTTACCACACTAAAAGAGTTCATGATGCTTGTGATGGACCGGGTCTAGTGGTGACTGTACCGATTCTTGGATGTTTTGGACTTTTTATACCGAGTGTTGTAGAAGGGGTGGGAATTGTGTCTTCGGATGATTCCTTCGACTTTCACATGTGTCCATCTTCAAAGAACGCATTGTACGTATCATTTACCATGCGGTTCCTGCCGAATCTTGGATATTCTTGCAGGAGGTCACTGGTTTGAGACCATTTTTTATAAAACGTACATACAGTGTGGTTATTTAAGTGTGCAACATATGGGAATCTTTTTAATGAATTGCACAACCAAAATACAGATAGTGCCGAAACTTGGTGCATGTTCGGTAATCATTTAAGGTGCACTTAGAATGGTTGCAACTCCGACAGCATACAGGGTAGGTCAAAAAATATTGAAATTCATCAAGAGTAAAGTACCCTTATTTCAGAAAATTCAGTGAAATGTTATTGAGAAAAGTTGTGAACAATAGGAAGTTATGCCTGAATACCAAATTTTGATTTCTAAATTCTTTTCGTTATTAACCTCCCAATTTGTAATTTTTTTATATTCACCCCAAACACTTTCATAACGAAATCAGTTGAGCATACCTTTGTTCAAATTCGAGCATATTTGTGCAATTAACTTGGTTTTTTCAATTTATTTAGGGAATCACAAACATTATGTTTTGTTGCAACGATATTCAGGTCAACTTCAAAATTTCGAAAACCATAGTTTTAACAAGGTAAAACATCATTAGATGAGAAGTTAGTGTCACCAAACTGTCCTAATGTTTACTGCTGTCAACCCTCATTTGTTTTGTACCTTGGGTATCCGTGATTATTTTGAAAGACATCATGGTTGTCGATTAATTTGTACAGCTTCTTCATAAACATTTCAAATACGAAATGTTCACATTAAATGAAAGTTTTCGAATATGCATATTATCATTAATGATGTTTCACATTGTGAAAATATGGTTTGCGAAATTTCAATGAATATCGTTGCAACAAACAAAGTTTGTGATTTCCTAAAAAAATTAAAATCCAAGTTAATTGCAAAAATATACTTGAATTTGAACAAAGGTATGATCAATTGTTTTTGTTATGATTAACTTATAAAAGTATTTAGGGTGAATATAAAAAAAAGCACAATTTGGGAAATTATTAACGAAAAAAATTGAAAAACTAAAAAATGTCTTAGGAGGCCATGTTTTGGTATTTAGACATAACTTTCAATTGTCAACAACTTTTCTGAATGACATTTTGCTGAATTTTCTGAAATAAGGGTACTTTAACTCTTGAGCAATTTTTATATTTTTTGACCTGTCCTGTAGGCTATTGGACTTGCAACCATTTTAAGTGCACCTAAAATGATCACCGAACAGGCACCAACTTTCGGAACTATCTATACAGGGTGTCCCTAGACCAGTGGGACATTTAAATATCTTCTGAACCAATAGGAATTTTCAAAATATTATAATTCCACATCATATCGCATTATGAGTGCTAACTTAAGGAATGACTATATTTTATACGAGGGGCGCAAGGAAGGCTCACAAAATCGAACATAATTTTTTTCAAATGGAACACCCTGTATTTCATTGCATTTTCACATTCTCCTTAAAGAGCTGAATTCAACGACCTAGCACACTTGGGGTCTAGCGGGAATGATTTCCGAGATATAGGGTGTGGAAAATCGAGATTTTTCATTTTTGGGAATTTTTTGTGTCAAAACTATTCATTATTGGTCAAAACGGCTCACATTTTCATTACTCAACTTTTGATTCACTATTTACTCGTATTTGACTTGAACAAATACAGGGTGGTGTAGAATTCTCAGTTTCAGTCGGAATTCCACACCACCCTGTATTTGTTTCAATTAAATACGAGTGAATAGTAAATCGAAAGTCAAGATATGGACATGTAGGCCGTTTCGACCAAAAATGAATAGTTTTGACACAAAAAATTCCCAAAAATAGAAAAATCTCGATTTTCCACACCCTATATCTCGGAAATCATTCCCGCTAGAGCCCAAGTGTGCTAGGTCATTGAATTCAGCTCTTCAAGGAGATTATGAAAATGCAATGAAATACAGGGTGTTCCATTTGAAAAAATTGATGTTCGATTTTGTGAGCCTTTCTTGCGCCCCTCGTAGAAAATATAGTAATTCCTGAAGTGAGCACTCATAATGCGATATGATGTGGAATTATAATATTTCGAAAATTCCTATTGGTTCAGGAGATATTCAACTGTCCCACTGGTCTAGGGACACCCTGTATATTGGTTGGGCAATTCATTTAAAAAATTCCCATATGTTGCACACTTAAATGACCACACTGTATACAGTGTGACCCACTTAAGACCGGAGCACCCTTATGGAATCGATAGATTTCAACCGATTTCTTTTTCTTTTGTTCCAGCAGAAAGAGTATCCGAAGACGTTTACACAAATTTGCGAAATATAATTCCAATTTTCAGTGCATACTATATGTTTTTTTCTCCGAAGGGAAAAAAGTTTGACATTTCATCTCTGTTGACAGGTTACAAAATGTTCATAAATTACTTTTTTCCCACGGGAGAAGAATGAGTACTTTATAGTATATGGTTTCATGGACATTTTACCCAGTAGTGCCCTACAGGGGGTTGTGGCAACTTTTCCTCCCATATTTTCTACGCCACTGATTAAATTTCGATTATTTCCAATTCCTCGAATTCATTGTACAATTTTGTTCAAAAAATGCATCACATCCAACTGACCTGAAATGAACAGTTTTCGAGATATTCGACCCAAAATAGAAGATTGCATATAGTAATATTTCATCATTTTCAGTAGTAGAAAATTGGAAAAATATTGTTCTGGTGTTAAGTAGATTAGATACTATTCAGGTCTTATTCTGTAGCTCAACAAAAATAGTAATTCCACCCATAATGAGAAAATAAAAATTTTTGTAATCTTCTACTACTGAGGAAGATGAAAAATTACTATGCAAACTTCTATTTTGGTCAAATATCTCGATAACTGTTCATTTAAGCTCAATGGGCTTATATCACAAAAAAATTTTATTTCATAATTCGATAGAACTCACCCAATCTAGCTCACCACCGCAAACCGTTTCTTGCTGTGAGCTCTTTACGTTTTATAATAAATTATTGAAATCCCCGATTTTTCGGACCTCTGAAAACGAGGCGATGATGTGACGTCAAAACCCTAATACAGAAACAAGATTATTCCAGACAGAGATGAATGATACATGATTTCTGACAGAGAGAATTAGCGCGAGATCACAGTTGAAAGAATTAATATATCATTTGCCTCTGTCTCCGTCGGGCATTTGGTATTTTCTTTTAACTAAGGCGAGATGAGGTTTCTACGTCATAAGAGGGTCCGTTTTCAGAAGGTACTATTATTTATGTCCAAAAATAAAACATTTCAGTTAATTTTTCGATCGAATTATGTCGTCAATCATTATTTATGTATAAAAGGATCATTATAAACATGGTTTGAGTCAAAAGTTCTACTAAGGTATACACGCCCATTGAAGGTGATGCATTTTTTCAACATAATTGAACAATCAATTCGAGAAATTGGAAATAATCGAAATTTCATCAGTGGCGTAGAAAATATGAGAGGAAAAGTTATCACAACCCTCTGTAGCGCACCTCTGGATATAATTCTCGGAATGTCTTTCTGGTCAAAAATCTAACCATTGAAAGATGAAACCATATACCGAATTTGAATGCATTATATCCAAAAAACAATTTTAATTTCTAAACTTCAACGCCCTGTATCTCGAGAACTGAACACTATCCCTATCTTAGTGATCATGAAATCACGAGAGCTATCACTTGTCAAGCGTTGCCGGTCGAATTTCGCAACACCCTGTATAGGTGCAAAAATAAGCCAAAAACACCGTCTACAAGAAAGAACACATATGTACCAAATTTCATGAGGATGTATACATTATTGTCTCAGTTGTCATCAAAAAACTGAATATTTTTCAAAACTTCATCACCCTGTATCTCAAAAGTTGAGACCTTTAGGACATATGTTCATATGAAGTTTTCTTCTTAAAATGAGTCAAATAATTAATGCTTGGCACGTGGCGTATGTATTTTGCTGTAGCTGCTCCAACTGACTTCAGAAAGACATATATACCTGAACTTCCTTCTTATCATGTCAGATGCATCGCAAAAGCTGCTTCACAAAAACTCGGATTCTTGTTCCGTGCGAAAAGCTACTTTACACCTCAACAGCTTCTCATGATCTACAAAGCGCAGATACGGCCTATTCTAGAATACTGTTCCCACATATGGGGTTCAGCACCAAAACATACGCTGATGCTCTCAGATTCTATCCAGAGAAGAGCCATTCGCCTGGTGGGTGACGCCACACTCACTCACTCTTTGACATTATTGGAACACCGTAGAAAGGTCGGCGACCTTTCACTTTTCTATCGATACTTCCACGGGACATGTTCTTCTGAAATCTCTGCTATCATCCCTCCACTAGCAATGCAAATCAGACGAACTAGACAAGCCCAGTCAGCACATCCTTTCGTTGTCAACCTCGAAAGATATCGAACAGCACTTTATCAAGACTCCTTCATCCATAGAACGGCTAGGCTCTGTGGAATTCATTGCCTGTGGAAGTATTCCCAACAACATAATTATAAGAAGTCCAAAAAAAAACCTACCTCCTGTCCCTATCCTCCCTAGGAAGGCACGATGTTCTCTGAACATTATAGGGATTCCCTTTCGTGCGCTCCAAGCGATAAAAAAAATATGAGGGACACTTTGCAACAGGTAATTGAGCGTTTCGAAAAAATTATTCTTCAAACATATTTCGTAGACGTCTTTGTTTGCGTGATATACAGTGCGTTGAAGTTGAAAATATGAATAGATTTTTCCTATATGACCCAGTATGACTTGACATTTGACATTTTGATATTGTGGGCAGACGACTCCAGGCTTACTACAACTCTTCTGTTATTGGTTCAGTCATGAAGGTAACCGATTTGGCGAAAGAAAGATAATGGAGATTATCGTGCATTTTATTCATAAAAATATGGCAGACGAATATTAAAGTAGTCCACTTCCATCAAGTTCAAATTTTGCAAAGTAGATAACGGACCTGTAAACATTATTGGGGTACTCATATAATATT